AAAAAAAAAGATTAAAAATGTAAATTTAAAAAAAAAAAAATATTTATACATAAAAAACTATTATTATTATTATTATCATTATTATTAATAAAAATAAACGCACAGCCTGCGAATATTATTATTATCATTATCATTATCATTATTATTATTATTTACATACATATATATATAAATATATTATTATATTATTTAGGCAACAATATTAATTGAACGTTTAATATTTTTATTCATTATTATTATTATTATTATTTACTATCATTATCATTATCATTATTACTATTATTATATTTCATTTTATTTATTCAATTAAAATTATTTAAAAAAAAAACGAAATTCGATTACGTTCATATGTTTACATACGCGCCATCGAGAAAAGACGTAAACGTGACGTCATTAATTGACTTTTTTTTCGAAATCATCCAATGAAATAAAACGAAGAAAAAAAAAGTAATGATAATAATAATAATAATAAATGAAGTGCGTTCATTTTTTTTCCCCCATAGGTTAATGAGGGTAATAAGGAGTATGGATATGAAAGAAAATTTAATAAAACAATGTAAAGTACGAACCCGTGTCAGACCACGTGCGCAGACGTAATGACCCGCCCCGTCCAAATACAGCATGCAGTATCCGCCTCCAAAATTTCCAGCTGGAAAACCGACAACACCTATTGATGATCTAGAGGATTACGCCATAGAATACAAAGTAGGAATAGTATCCGATAGACCCGTTCAGAGCTTCAACCCTTCTGGAAAACTGGCTCCACGACCCTAACTGAAGAAGAGTACAAGGTAATCAATCTGTCTCTGTGACTTCGGACAAAAAGTTGATTGACGAATTATCTACCTGTATTTTAATACCATCTTGTACTGGTAAAAGTACATGAGTGCTTCACGCCACCAAGAACGTTGAATCTCGATCATCAAGTCTACACGTGAGAAACACGTGCTTACTTCTCAGAACTCGAGGTGATTTTGAGAACGAAAGAGGATTGCGTTACCGACTTGAGTACCGGCGGAAAGATCGACGCAGGCCGCACCCATGATTGGTACGAGTTGCTGCTACCAGCACCGGCATTCGCGCATTCTTGAGGATCACACAGATACACAACATCTCACGATGATCCCAATCGGGACATCTCCCGGCCTTAAACCAACCAACGAGCTTCTCGAAGCGGAAGAGCCATCACCCAGGATGATGAAGTCGAGCCCCTTGAGCAGAAGCACCCCTTTGCAGAAGATGACGATAAGAATAAGCCAAAAGTTAACCTGACAGCCTGACGTAGAGCCCATCTTTTAGGTAAGAACCAACTAGCGGTGTTTAGCTTGAAACACTCTTGAAGACATTCCCCTGCGCTACCAAGATCTAGATTTTTCTTCAAACCCCCGGAAGTGGTGGTGGTGGTGTTGGTGTATGTACCCCTGTAATACAACTACTCGGATGCTAGGTACAAAGGATGTTTTAAGGACAGTTTTAGTTGGGTAGTGGTTTCGGGTGAGTTCCCCCCTACACCCTCCCTGCTGCTACCCTCAAGGTGGGGAGGTTAGTGCGAAATTCTACAATTTCCCTGGGTTACCAAAAAAAAAAAGTACGTTCAGAAATTTCTTTTACAAAAAAAAAAAAAAAAAACAAATAATAATAATAATAATGAAATACAATTCATAAAAGCGTAAAAAACATTATTTATAAAAAAAAATTAATAGTAATAATAATAATAATAAATAAATAAATAATTCACGACGACAATGAGTAATGATGATGATGATGATGATGATAATTCGTTTTCTTATTACAACATTATCATTATTATTATTATTTTTTTCATTATACAAAATTCAAATTATTCATTGATAATAATTATTATTATAAAAAAAAAAATCAATAAAAATAATAATAATAATAAAAATAATAATAATAATAATAATGATAATAAAATAAAAGGAACTTTCATTTACGGTAAAATTGTTCAATAAGAAAAAAAAAAGAAAAATTATTTTAAAAAACCATAAATAAATAAATAAATAATTAATTATTTAATATTAATAAGTAATAATAATAATAGTAATAATAATAATGATAATAATGATAATGATAAATTTAAATTATTTCGTTGTGCCCTAATCAGACTAAAATTAAATTAATTCGTTTCTCTCTCTCTCTCTCTCTCTCACTCTCTCACTCTCTCACTCACTCACTCTCTTTCTCTTTCTCCATTTTATTATTATTATTATTATTAATTTTCGTTTTTTTCTCGTTTTTATCAATTTTATTTTACATTTTTCAAATTACAAATTATCATTATTATTATTATTATTGTAAACTCCTCACACGCGCACTTAATAACGACGATGATAATGATGATAGTAATAATAATAATAATAATAATAATAATAATTGATAATTTAACTCGCGCCTAATTTTTTTTTTTCTTATTAAATTTTATAGTTTTATTATTATTTTCTCCTTAAAATACATCATTTAAAATAATTATTAATAATAATAATAGTAATGATAATGATAATGATGATGATGATGATGATAATAATAATAATAAAATGAATTATTTATCGTTTCGTATAAAATGCATAATACTTTGATATTCAATTAAAAATATCCCACAACAATCGATAATTAATAAAATAATTTTTTTTTTTTTTTTAATACAAAAATTTACAAAAGATTATTATTATTATTATTATTTATTTATTTATTTATACACTTATTAATTAATAATTTAATTTATTTATTTATGTATATTTAAACGCGTTTATTTTATATATATATGTATATTAAATATAATGATTGTTTTTTTTTTTTTTAAAGTAGAAAAGTGTAAAAAGTAGTAACATTTAATTTTTGTGTACGTTAAACAACAATTATTATTATTATTATTTATTATTATTAACATTATTAATTATTAACATTAATAATAATAATTATTATTATTAATTATTTAAAAAAAAACGACAAAATCAATTTAAAAAAATTTTTTTTTTTTTGTAAATTTTTTGTTCTTATTGCGTTTCAAACGATTTCACATTTAATTTATATTAATAATAATAATTGATGATAATAATAATAATAATAATAATAATAATAATAATAATAATAATAATAATAATAATAATAATATTAATAATTTATGATTTGTCCGAAATTTTAAATTAATTTAGGCTCGCATAATTTAATAATAATAATAATAATAATAATACTAATAAACAAACGTCAACCTTCTTTTTTTTTTTTTTGTAAAATTTTTGCCCATCCCCCCTTCCCTCCTTTTTCCAATCAACCCATAATTTATATATATATATATAGTAAAAAAAATCGCTTTTCGATGGATCGAACGATCTATCGATCTCTCGATTTATCGACATACATACGCGATGTGCCCTGATATTTAAAATTTTATTATCATTATTATTATTTATTTTTATAATTGAATTCGTGGTAATAAACGTTCAAACATTTCTCCCTATCCTCCTTCCTTTCCCCACTTTTTTATTTTTTAGGTACGAATAAAAATTAATTGACAAAAAACGCAATTTCCGACGGAATTAAATGGAAAATAAAAATCAATTGGAAAATTATACAAAATAATAATAATAATAATAATAATAATAATAATAATAATAATAATAATGAAAAAAACAAAATGAATGGCGAAAATGACGCGAAAAATCTCACTCAACTTTCTACAATTTAAATTTTGTTTAAAAAAAAAAAAAAAATGAAAATATTTCTCCTCCCCCTACCCCCTTCCCCACGACAAAAGTTTGTGATAAAAGTAATGATAACGTTGACAATAATAATAATAATAATAATAATAATAATAAATAAATAAAAGAAATAAAATTGGTAACGTCTCCTATTTTATATATTTAAGTAACCCGTTTTTTTCCTCCTTAATTACTTTTTAAACGTGTTAAAACTACAAAAAAAAAAAAATCATAGAGTATAAAAACGAAAAAAAAAAAAAAAAAAAAAAAATCGCTGACCTGTAATAATAATACTCAACAACGTGTCAATCGTTTAAAAATAATAATAATAATAATGATAATAAAAACACCCGAATTTTCTTTCTCCCCCGTCCTACATCAACCTCACAACAGTTTTTTTTTTAATAATAATAATATTAAATCAAAAAAAAAATTTTTTTATTTGCTTGTTCGAACGTTTTTATTCATTTTTAGGCCGTTTTATTCTCCTCCCTCCTCCTCCTCCTCCTCTACCCCCTCCTACCATTTCCCTCGTTTTTTCATTTCCGCTTTTCCCAAAAGTTTCCCCCTTTTCATTTTCTTTATATTTTTACAATCCCCTTTTTGAAAAAAAGAAAAAAAGTTTTTTCTTTCTCACGATTTCGACAGACAAACTCACAAACAAACAAACAAACAAACAAACAAACGACGCAAAAAAAATTTTAATTTTCATAAAGCGGTGGTGGTACTGAATGAACCGCGATTGACCGTCGCTTTCATTTCACACATCACACGATTCCCCTCCCCTCCCCTCCCCCCCGTAAAAAGAAAAATTTCTTCTGTCCTTCTCCTCCTCTTCCCTCCTTCCCTCCCCTTTTTCCCCCCTAGAATTTTCCATTTAAATAATTAGAAAAAATAACGAACAAAAAAAAAAAAAAAAAAAAGATAATTTTGTTTTCTTTTTTTTTTTCCTTTTTTCCAGCGGCATTTCTTTTTCTCAAACTTTTCCCTTCCATTTTCTTTCTTCCTTTTTTTTTTCCTTTTTTTTCTTTTTTTTTGTTTTTTCAGGTCCAGCCTGGAATATTATACATCATTTTTATAAATATTTTTTTAATTTTTTTTCCTCTCCATTTTTCTTCTTCTTCTTCTTCTCCATCATCATCATCATCATTTTCTTGTTCGTTCAAGCATCCGTTTCTCCAGCTTTGAGTCTCAGTCTGGCAAAATCTTCGAATATAATATCATCGCTATCATCTATTCCATCCCTGACCACGTTTCAAACGTGAAAGAGAGAGAGAAAAAAAAAATTAAAATTTTTCAACCGCCCACGCACACTCCTCCCCCCGTTTCCGTCTCTGTCCCCACTCCCCCCAAGTAATTACCCGTCGAGCTGTATTAGATTCGTGTCCGTGGCAACATCCATGGCGTTGTCGACGGTTTGACATTTGACGTGAGTCGGCGACGAAGGCGGATCCTCGGGCGGTTTCGGATGCATCAAAACAAATGGTAACTCCGCCGTTAAATCTCCGCCTAATGCTCCTAAACACAATTTCACTTTGACTTTGTACTGAACAATTATACCTAAATTTTCCTTTTGAGAAGGATCAACCATTCTGAAAAACCAAAAAAGGAAAAAATAAGAAACAGAAAAAAACAAAAGAAAATTTTCTTTGTAAATTTCCACACACCACGAGTAAACATATTACAAAAAAAAAGAAAAGCTATTTACAGATTATTGAAAGCAACAAACAAACAGACAGACAAACAAACAGCCAACCAAACTATCCACCCATTTCCCCCGCCTTATCCTCCCCCTCCTCCCACCTCCCACCGGCCGAATCCCCTTTTTCTATACCTGTACCCCTTCTACCCACTACCCGTACCCCTTTCCCTCCCTCGTCACGTGTTCTCTATACCCTCATCAACATCTCGGTCAGACACAGAGTCTTTACTATCAAAAATACTACTCACAAAGTCGTCGAAGCTAAATTCGTGTCCTCGTGTTTCAATTGACCGTCCAATGCCAAACCGCATTTGTCCTTGTTATTTTTGAGCAATGGCGTCAAAGTAAACACTTTTGAAAGCGTGAAACCCGGACCGATTGGACACCCTTCGCTGGAAACAATAAACAAGGCATTGCAAAGAAACCAATCACCAAATGATGAAGAAATGAAGAACCATGAGTGAGAGAAAGAGAGAGAGAAAGAAAGAGAAAGAAAGAAAAAGAGAAAGATGAAGAATGAAAAACCGTTAAAATGATTATTATTATTATTATTATTATTATTTTTATTATTATTATTATTATTAATAAACTAAATCCAATAAAGCAATCCAAGTAGTTGAAAAAATGATTAAACGTCATGACCGTTGTAAAAAAAAAAAACCACCAGCACACACGTGACCGACCCAAAAACAAGTAGCTATACTTTTTTTTAAACATTTTCCTACTCCTGTAAAAACAATTTACGACGTTAGTATGTATATATATATAAATTTTCACAGCAAGCTTTTAGCAGGAGGAAGGAAAAATTAAAAAAAGGTTCCGCTAAGAAGGTGCCGACGGACGGGAACCTTGGGACGGGAAACGTGGCAGGAGAAAATTTCGGGGAAAACCAAAGAATTAAAAAAAAAAAACAAGCATTAATCAATAATAATAATAATAAAAAGCAATCAAAAGAGATGCAGAAAAAAAAAAAAAAAGAAAGAAAACAATTATGAACGTTCCCCCCCCCCGTCTGTACGATTGTCTGTCTGTCTGTCTGTCTGTTTGTTTGTTTGTTTGTTTGTCTCCTCCTTTATTTTTTTTTTTTTTTTAAATTTTTTTCCCATTCGTTTTTTATTCGAGGTAAAAATGAAAATCCGCGGGAGGGAGGGGAGCGTTCACAATTGTTTTTCTTTTTTCCTTTTTCTTTTTTTCTTTCCCTCCACCGTTTGATTCCCTTTTTGTCAAAAGACTCTCACATTGTGCTCGAAGCAAGATTCGTGTCTTCGTGTTTAAGTTGACCATCTAGAGCTAATCCTCTTTTATCTTTGTTATTTTCAAGGCTCGGACGTATAGAATAAACTTTCGAAAGCGTGAATCCAGGTCCGACGGGACATCCGGCACTAAAATGAAACACTATTAGTATTCTAGCTTAAAAAAAAGACAAAGAAAGAGAAAAAGAAAGAGAAAGAGATAAAGAAAGAGAGAGAGATACAAAATAAAACAAAAAAAAAAAAAATTGTCTTTCGTGGACTTGAAACCTGGAATTATCAAATAAAAATAATTCATACATTTTTTTTTTTTTTTTTTTTGGAACTCGGATTTGTTATGCGAACGCAAAGAGAGAGAAAGAAAAAAAAAGAGAGAGAGAGAGAGGGGGGGGGAATTAAAAATAAACCGGAAATTAATCAAAAAAAAAAAAAAAAAAAAAATTTTTTCCGTCAGGTTTTTCCATAATAATTCAAATCCAAGTTCCAAATTTTTTTTTTTGAAAAACCGTTACGTTTAAAAAATACTCTGGAAAAAATAAAATTATTATTATTATCATCATTATCGTCGTAGTCGTCATTCGTCGTCATCATCATCATCATCATTATATTAGCAGTAAAATTTCCGACGTTTTCTAATTTCATTTCAACTGTAACACATTAAATTTTTTATTCGCGCGCTACGAAGGCGGTGGGGTGGAAGCGGGGAGGAGGGTGAAGGGAAAAGGTGGGAGGGAATAAAAGAAAATCTACTTACTCGCTTTCCGTTTCCGCAACCGTACATTTATACTGAGCCGTTGAAAAAAGACAAATGTCTGCAAATTGTCTAACGGACACTTTTATTTTTTTAACCGTTCTATTGGAATTGTTGGCAATGTGTACGTTCACGGCTATGTTTTCCCCGTGATGATACAACTGACAAAAAAACAAATACCACAAAGCATTACGATAATAATAATAATAATAATGAAAGAATAATAATAATAATAATAATAATAATAAATTTTCATGCTCACAGCTTTATCCAGAGAAGCTTCCAGGTGAAGTTTATTCGGGCTCATGACGAATTCTTTTGAAACTTCGATGCTAGGTTGTTCTCCCTGTTTGCTGGGAGCGTACATTATTTTCCGTATGGCCAAACGGACCGAATTCCTGTAATCGAACAATCATCATCATCATCATCATCATCATCATCATCATTTTAAAAAAAAAAAAAAAAGCGGGAAAAGCGGGACTCACCTCTTGTGCGGTTTATCATCTTGCGTATCTCCGACGAATGCTTTCAATTCGTAATCGACTCCGCAAGGTTTTCCAGTATCTCCCGGTACGGGCTGGAGAGTTACGGAGGCCGGACAGTGGGGCGGTAGCTCGAAATAAAACGGATAAGCGTTGGGCCCTAATTTTTTCATTAATCTTTCCTGAAATCGATTTCCGATACACTTTACCATAATTCAATAAAGGAAACGCAAAAAAAAAAAAAATCTTTGTCCTTGCTCAACTTTCCCCCCCCTCTTCCCCCCAACTTTTTTTTCCTTTTTCCCGGATTAAATTTTCTTGGGAAATTTTTTTTTTGACAAAGAAAAATGAAGATTAAATAAAAACAAAGTTAAAAAGTGAGACAACAACAACTTTTTTGTAATTACCCGACTTTAATCTTTTTTTTTTTTTTTCCTCATGACTTATCATTATTATTATTATTCACCTGTAATCTCGTAAGTGGTCTTCTGCTCGCCGTGAGATCCTGTGGGAAAATTTGTTCGGCAGCAAGGTACAAATCCTTTCGAAAAGTCAATCCTAAAACATCCAAATCTTCTCTTCCGTACCTGAAAGCGGCGAGAACGTGACCGAAAACTTTACGATCTTTAACATATTCTTGATCGATTAGTACGACGCCATCTAAAAAAAAAAAAAAAAAAAAAAAAAAAAAAAAAAAAACGAAAAATGAGAAAAAAGAAAAACAAATAAAAAACCATTACCGATAATAATAATAATAATCCATTCAACGAAACGAGAAGGAGGAGGAGAAGGGGGAGAAGGAAAACGAAAAGAAAAAACTACGACACGAATTCATTTCCTTTTCCTTTTCCTTTCTTGAAATTATTTCTAATAGTAATAATAATAATAATTTAATTTAAAAACGCCGCAAACAAAAACGATTAAATTATCTCAATATTATTTTCATCGTTTCTCCTGCCACGATTTAAAAAAAAAGGAAAATGATAAAAAAAAAGATGGAAAAGGCAAAATAAAAAATAATAATGATGATGATGCGACGGTGAACAAAAAAGAAAAAAAAAAAAAAAGAAAAAAAAAAGGTTTGGGGTTAGGAAAGGACAAACGACAAAATTCTCACGATGATAAAAAATAACAAAGGAAAAACGACACACAAAAAAATGGAAAAAAGGAAAAGGAAAAGGAAAAAAGGAAAAGGAAAAAAAGGAAAAGGAGAAGAAGAAGAGGAAAGAGAAGAAAAAATTTTCAAAAGGAAAAACTTTTCAAAAGTTTTAAAAACGTTTAATTTTTTTTGTTTTTGGTTTCACACGCACTTCCCCCTCACTCACTCACTCACGCACTCGCTCCTTCCAGAATCTTTCTCCTTAACTCCACGCATTTTTTTCCGGGAAGGGAGAAGAGGGAGGGGAGGAGGAGGAGAAATAACAATCGAATCTCGAAACGAAACGAAAAATCGTAAAACGTCATTCATTTATATACAAATAATAATAATAATAATATTAAAAGCAACGAATTTTTTTTATTATTTTTTTTATTTTTATTTTTTCTTCTGCCACGCCAGAGATACATCATATATACATATATACATAATCCAGAGAAAATTGACGTCACAAAATAAATAATTTTTTTTTCGTTTCGTTTTGATTTCCGGCCAAAAAAAAAAAAAAAAGAAGAAATAATTACGGTTAAATTCTATTTCGAATTTTGTTTCTCTCATTTTTCAAGCTTCATTAATTTAAATTTTTGTTTTTTTTTTTTCCTTTTTCTTTTTCCTTTCCCTTTGGAATTTTCTTCCCAATTGATTCAAATCGATAAATAACAATGATTAAATAATTTTTTTGAAGAAGAAGACAGAAAGAGAGAGAGAGAGAGAGAGAGAGAGCGAAAGATGCAGATGATCGAGAGAAATGAGAATCGCTTAAACAAACAAACAACAACTTCCAACAGTGGCGTAATAAGTCTTTTAGAAAAGGAAAAAAAACGCCATTTAAATTTTTCATCGAGACACGATTCGATTTTCATTTTTCCCCCCTCCTTTTTAAACCCCTCCTCCTCTTCCCTTCCCTCCCCTAATACCACTCTTTCATCAGTTCAATTTCGACCGCCATTTACTTACTTCCTTTTCCTGTCTTAAAACGAATGGGAGGTGAGAGGAGGGGAGGGGAGAAAAATTGCCCAAATTGAAACTTCGCTTTTTTCCATCTTTCTCCTCCAGTTTTCCTAATCCCTTTTTCTCTCTCTCTCTCTCTCACGTTCATTTCCTCTTTTTTCTCTCCTTCTCTCTCTCTTATTTTCATTTTCTCAAACACATAAAATCTGGTGGAAACTTTCGCCTCGTAAACTTGACATTTTATTGCATTAAAAAAAAGAGGGAAAAGAGGGAAAAAGAGGGGGTGGAAACCGTTAAATTTTTTTTTACGACTGATTTTCAATCAAAAATTTCATGTTTCCGTCAGTATCAAACGGCTTTTTTTATTTTTTATTTTCCTTTTTTTTATCCTTTCGAAAAGGTTGACGATTGCGATTGAACGAAAGAACGAACGAAAAAAGGCTAAAAAAAAAATCACACGAAAGGAGAGAAAAGAAAAATTTTCGTTCAGGTATGATTTTTCGAACGAGGAAAATGTGACGTCACCACGGCAGTTACTTAACTTTTCGTTTACGTCATAAACAAAATAATTCGACGTCGAACAAAATCAATTTTTTTTTTTTTTGGTTACGGTTAAAAAATTATAGGTTTTAAATTCTCGTCGTCGATGAAATATAAAACGTTTAAAAAAAAAAAAATTCGACAGGATTTAACCACGACATCCACACAACAGAGGAAACGAAATCGAAACTCAAACTAACACGCCATTGTTTGAACAATAATGCGAGAGGAAAGAGAGAGAGAGAGAGAGAGAAAACGATATCAGGTATCGCGGTATTGTTTTACTCGTAATTTTTTTTTTTTGAACCTGGTGTTTTCGAAAACCGCGACGGCCTAACCGCCTCCATTTTTTTTTCTTTTTTTTTTTTTTTTTTCTCACGTGCTCGTAACATTTATTCATTTTCGAATGACTCGGAGTAATTTTTTCTTTTCCCCCCCCTCCCCCCGTACTTTTTCCTCCTACCTTTTTTTTTGACTCCTCGAACTCTCTTGGCTCTCAGTTAAAATAAATATATATATATTGGAACCAAAAAAAAAATTCATTTGACCGAAAGAGGAGGAGTAGAGGAGGGAAAAAAAGGTCACGGTGGTGGTGATTTCGATGATAATGATGACGATAACTATGATTTACTCACCGATTGGATCCACGTGGGTGATGTGATCAACGAAATCCCTTTTTCCCAAATAAACTGTTATCTTCCCGTTGGGCGAACTTTTTTTGAAAACTCTGAAAACGTAAAAAAAAATTAATAATAATAATGATAATAATAATAATATTTAAAGAAAAATAACAAATAAATAAATAAAAGATTTGAATTTCCCCCCCTCTCCCCTCTCCCCTTATTCGAAAAGCTTTTCAACCAACAATGAAATCAAAAAAAAAAAAAAAGAAAAAATTTTAAATCAACAAATAAAACATCAGGGGCATAAACAACAACTACAACAACAACAATAATAATAATGATAACTATTACCATACGATAGAAAGAAAAACGGAGAGAGAGAGAGAGAGGGATGGGGGAGGAGAAAGGGGGAGGGACATTAAGTAAAACCTTAAAAGAAATTTTTACGATTTAAATTTGTTTTTTTTTTTTTTCTCTTATTTTTCTTTTTCTTCCTTTTTGATTTTAGCATGGTCATCGTTTTTAAAAAACAAACGAAAACAAAAACAAACAAACAAACAAACGAACAAACAAACCCACAACAGGAACTCACCAGCCAAAAAAAAACAAAAAAGAAAAAAAAAAACGTTTCAATTTTTTTTTTTCCTTCTTCCCTCCTTCTTCTCTTTCCTTTGTACCTTTTTCCCTCTTATTTCCGTTTATTTCAACATTAAGAAATAATAATAATAATAATAATAATAATAATAATAATAATAATAATAATGATAATGTAATTAAAAAAGTTTGGATTAATTAATTAACGAAAATAATTATTCGTTTATTAAAAAAGGAAAAAAAATTACAATTTTTTTTTCCTCTTCATCCCGCATCACATTCTTTTGAAATTTCAAATTAATTAATTAATTACGTCGAGTATTATGATAATAATAATAATAATAATATTAGTAATAAAATTTACTAACGTAATATATTAATAATAATAATAATAATAAGAATGATAAAAATACATTAAAGTAATAAATTTTTATGGAGGTCGTTCGTACGTTTTATTATCATAATTAATTGCAACAAATAAACATGGACATGAGAAAAATTGATGTAATAAAATGATGAAAAGAAAATAAAAAACAAAAGGAGAGGAAATGAAAGGAAAATAGTGTGTGTGTGTTGTGAGAGAGAGACAGAGAAAGGAAAAGTTAGAAAAAAAGAAAAAGAAAAACTTGAAACTGGTTTATTAAAAAAAAAAGTGAAAGAAAATTAAAATTAAAAAAGGCTCAAAAAAAGAAAAAGGTTGAAAGAAGGTTTTTGTAACAACGAGCGGAGGCGGGGGGAGGAGGGCGGGGCGGGAAATTTAATTATAACATTTATCATTATCATTATTTCAAAACAACGACCAAGTTTCAATGACCAGGTTTGAGAGAGAGAGAGAGAGAGAGAAATAGAGACGGGAGGGGAAATGTAGAACCTTTAAAGGTTTAAACATTTCAAAGCTTTTATTACAAAAGGGAAAAAAGGGGAAAGAGAGAGAGAGAGAGAGAGAGAAAGAGAGAAAGAGAGAGAAAGAAGAAAAAACAAAATTAAATGAACACAACCAAAACAAAATAAAAATTTAATGATGGCATTT